AGGAGAAAAATACCAGCAAAACCTCTCAGTTACAGAGACAAGTCATTTGACATTTCTGAGCTCATACTCTGTGCCCTGTCTGGGCATATGATGAAAGACGCCCTTCCGATAGCGTGGCTCTCCAGAGCACCCTCTTTCTCCTCTGCACCTTTGCTTATGTCCCCTCTGTCTTGCATGCTGCCCTCCCCGATGCCGCTTAGTGAATGCTAACTGCCCACTGTGCACTCACTCTCCCGAGGGAGCACGGCTGTCCCATGCTGCTGGGTGGAATTGTCGCCACTTTCCCACCTCTCTGGGACTCTCACTGCAGTCTGCCTCCTTTTCAGTTACTTCACTAAAAGTCCAATCCCCCATCAAGCCCTTTGTTGATTGAGGGCATGTCCGATGTCACCTTGAGTGCTGGACACTCAGTACATGTAGAGATAGAGATAGGTCACTTATCTTGATAATAGTTGTTCGTTTCCTAAGTCTTAAATACAGTGTTATACTAGGAAGATTTATGGGCTGAGCTAATTTTCTGCAGATCGTTGTATTTTAAAATTAGAACTGGAGAGCATAGTCGGCATATCTGAGTATGGATATAGACGGTAAAAGAGCTGAAAGTGACTCTTCTGAATGTGGATACTGTCGTGTATAGCAGTGGTCCCCGTGAGAACCCAACGCCTGACGATTTGAGGTGGGGCCGAGGCAGTGATGCTGGCGCCGGGGAGCGACTGTAAATACAGATGGAGCTTCAGTAGCTCACCTGCTGCTAACCCCGTGCCATGCGGCCTCGTTTCTAACAGGCCATGGACCAGTGCTGGTCTGCAGCCTGGACGTTGGGGATCCTTGGTGCAGAGGATTCTTTGTGCCTTCCGGGTTGGTTAATTCTGTTCTTTTTCTTCTCTAAGTAGAGGATTTCTTTCATTTATTCCCAGACACTCACGGCATGTTGGTTTCATCCTCAGGCTATCTCTTCTCATGGACCTGAGATGGCTGTCACAGTTCTAAGTGTCACACGGAGAGGACAATGTCATATGACCTTTTTTGTCAGCCAAGAGACTGTTCCCAGAAGTCTTATAGCTCACTTCCCCAAGTGTTGACTTGGCCAGGATCCTATCACATGCTCATCCCTAAACTAATCGGTGGCAAGAAAAAGGGTAATAAGATTTACTTACCCAATGATAAGATTTACCCTGAGGCTGGGGCAGGGTCAAGCTTCCAGCGGCATGTTGGTGGTGTGGGCTATCCACTTGAACAAAATTGGGGTTCCCTCAATTTGTAACAGAGAAGGGGATAAGCAGTTGTGTCTTCTGCCTTTGCAGCCTATGGGGTCTATAAATGAATAGACTGGTGCCCCTGTGACCGAGCTCACCACGACTGCGGGCAGCTGCCGCCCGTCTGTCCATTCCTGCCGGGAGGGGCGCCGGCCGCTGCCGTTCACCCAAGGCCTGCTCTGGTTCCTGTGGCGCAGGCAGCTCGTCTGTTCAGCCAGTGTTCCATCTTCCTAGCAGTTGACCTCGCTTATGAAATACTTGCTGTTGCTGGCACACGGTGGCCAGGACACTCCGTGTGTAGGGAGTGGCTCCTCGTTCAGCATGAGGAGGGGATGAAAAGGTCACATATCCCTGAGCGTGACAATGCCGTGCACCTGTCAACTTGGCACAGTCATGAGCACCGTCTCACTGGACTTGTCCACCTCTCGCATCCACAGCTTGCAGAGGAGCTGGCTGCTGGCGGGTCGGCACAGACCGGCGGGTCGGCTCAGCCCACAGGTCTCTCTGCCGCACTGTGGCTGCTCTGGCAAATTTGGCTGGTCCTTCAGGAGCTCAGATGTGTTCGGGTTTAACCATTTCCAGTGAGAGCTTTTGAACGATGGCTTGCATTTGTCACCGTGCAGGGTGTGGAACCTCACTGACTCCCAGGGCGACGTGGTCTGTAGCCTTTGGCTGTGGCAGGGTCGGGGGGCCTCGTGGGGGTCACTTGAGTTTTCGATCTCTGCTCTCGCGGGACCAGGGCCTGCTGGGCTGGCTTGCGCAGTTTGTTCTCATACCAAAGTTTTCAAGTGGCTGTGTTTTTTGAGTTTTTTGACTCTGGTTTGTATAATTTTCCGACTTTTTTGCTTTGGTTAGGCCAGCTGTCACCTCACACGGCTGGTAGCGTTCTTTTCTCTGGTTAAAGCTCTCCTTGGAGTTTGTGACATCTTTTTGAGTCCTTCGTGACAACTTTGTGGCTTCTCATCTGTGCTAGGGATGATTTACGATGTCAGGTAAATGCCCTCTGGATAAATGGAATGTTAATAATGGTATAATTCTGACTTAAAAATACCCCATGCACCCAGTTAATAGAATCTTCTCTGGGCTTGACTCTTGTTTTTAAATCAGGTCCAACGATGCTGTCATAGATCATATATTTCTTCAGCACAGTCGAGGTGTTGGTACAAAAATGTACCACAGGATGACACGGGGTGGGGAACCTTAGCCCACGCTTTTAAACTCTTATTCCCTGGCAGCAAATGGAAACTCAATATTTTAACCACTTGTCCATGGCAAGCATTTTAAGCACGTGAGAATCAGTATTGGCTTTTGGATTTAGAGAAAAAGAAATGTGGAAACACCTTTATTAATTATTAATTAATCTGAGCAGACACGCAAAGCGTGGCCCAGCTCGCCACGGTCCTACCCTCTCCTCTTCCACACCTGTCTCTGGACGTGGGAGGCCAGCATCGCTTCGTGAGGTACACGTCACACGTCGCTGTCAGGAAGACTTTGAAAATATCGATGTATCATTGACATATAACATTATAATACCCCCTATCTTTCGACTGGGATACCCTCATGTACCACAGGTGGTACCGAACTCTAAATGTACTGTGTTTTCTTATACGTGCAGGCCTATTATAGTTTGATTTAATAAATTAGGCACAGTAAGAGATGAACAACAATAACTAGGAATAAGATAGAACGACGAGAACATGCGGTCTCTCTCTCTGTGGTCTCTCTCGTGGCTGCTGAGTGAGTGATGGATGAGGAGGGCATACAGCCGGACGGAGGGATGATTCACGTCCTGGGCAGGACGCAGCAAGATGTGCGAGATTTCATCACGCTTCTCAGAATGGCGAGCAATTTACAACTTACGAGTTGTTTATTTCGGGAATTTTCCACTTGCTTCATCTGGACTTCGGTCAACCGTGGGTACCTGGAACCTTGGACAGGGAACCGTGGATGGGGGGCGGGCATGACCGTATATTAGTTGCAGGCGAGCCAGGTAACCGATGCTTTGTACATTGTTAAATGTTCGCCACAGTGAGTAGAGTTAGCATCCATCACCGCAGAGGGTTACAGAATTTTCTTGTCTTGTGATGAGAACTTTTAAGATCTGCTCTCTTAACAGCTTTCAAATTCGCGGCACAGTGTGGTTACCGGCGGCCACCGCGCCGGACGTGACGGCCCCACGACTAATTCAGTTTACAGGGAAGTTTGTGCCCCTCAACCCACCTCACCCGTTTCTCTCACCCTATCCACCCCGCAACTCCCGCCTCCGACAACTGCCAGCCCGTTCTCTGCATCTATAAGGATTTTTAATTTTTTTCAGAGTCCACTCATAAGTGAGAGATCATGAGGTATCGTCTTTGTCTGACTTATTTCCCTCAGTATAACACCCTCCAGGTCCATCCATGTTGTGACAAATGGCAAGATTTCATTCTTTTTTCATGATTAAATAATGTTCCACGCACATATCTAGCACATTTTTTTTTTTTAAATCTTGTGTCCGTGGACACCTGTTGTTTCTATGTCTTGGCTATTGCTTAGTTTTTTTCTGATTATCGAGATGAATAATTTTGGTGCTTAAAATTCGGAAAGTACCCAAAACTATAAAGAAGAAAATAAAACTCTCCCATAATTCACCTCGGAAACCCAAAGACCACGTCTGCTGGAGACTCCGCGTCTGGGTCCTCCTCCTTTTCCTACCGTCTGTCATCTTTCATCATCTTTTTTTTTTGGGGGGTTGTTTAACGACACTAGAATCATACTATATATGGCTTCGTATCCCGATCTTTCTTCCCAAGAATTTACATTTTTCATATGATAAACCGTTCGCTGGGACAGTTGGACGATCTGGGTTAAACGTCTCTGGGCACAGTCCCAAAGCCTGCAGGTAGAGTTGGCCGGGGCCTCCTGAGTGGAGCGGGAGGAGCAGCTGGCTTGCGGATTCGTTTATAAATACTGTAATAGCGCCCATTGCAAATATTGATTTTGATGCAATACTTAAGCCATTTTCTAATTGGAAAATAATTTTCAGCTGAAACAGTTGCCATTTGCAGTTTGTCGTGTTGTGAGGATTCTGTTAAGCGTAATATTTTGGGACTGGATATTTTCCTTGGAAAGTCGTATCAGCACAGAATTCCCATCTCTCCAAAAAAAGAGATGGGATTTTAGGTCTGTGCCAACAGGCCTGTTCTAAGAAAGATTTATTTTCTTTTTTTCTTTCCTTTTTTTTTTTTTTTTCAGTCTGGTAGTGTTCTAACCTTTTAAAATATATGGGTCTTAACAACTACAAATGAAAAGGACTGTTTCTTTCTTGGGACTAAAACCATTATTTAATTATAGTTCTCGGGATGGTTAATAAACTCCATGACTCTTTGTTTTGAGCTGAGCGAGGTGCGAAAGACGCGATCTGGGAAACCCATTATTACCGAAGCTGGGGGTTGTAAGGAAAGGAACACATTTTCAAAATATTTTCTTTGCAAAAGTATAAGTGTGCTTCAGTGTGCCAGCCCAGGCTTGGCTCTTATTCCATTCCTAATTTTTGCTTCATCAAGCCGAGCATCCCTCGGTGGAATGTTACCACTCTACCTCCCCGCCCCTCCCCGTTTTTTTAAGGGAAGGATTTTTTAACTTCATTCCCCTTTGAGGATATTTAAAAATAATGTTTAAAAATTAGTTTTGTCACTAAACGTTCATTGAGCCTTGGTATTAATACTTGGGGGGAAAAAGTTTTTAATATATTTAAATTCTCTTTCAGGTTGTTCCAAGATCTTTGAAGACCCAAGAAAAGCCCTATTGACGAAAAGCAAGACAAATGACTCACAGAGAAAAAAGATGGTGGCGCCAAGGGCATTTAAAGGTAAAATAAAACCCCCAGATAATCTTATCCCTCTTAGTTAATATATTTTTTTTAAATGTGAATACGTAAATATTTTGTATCTTTTATATTTGATGTTCGTGGTCCCAAATCTCCAGAGACCTTTTCTTGGATCCTTTGGTGTACGAGAAAGGGTTATGCTAATCCCACTGATGCTCCCTCCCACATAAGATGCCCCTCGCCGGGCACGCACTACCTGGTCTCCCGCCGCCAACACCGTAGGTGTTTTAAATCACTGCTTCATACGTATTTTAGTCAACACCTAATCCTTTCTCCCTGCCTTCACTTTCTTCTGCTCCTTCCAGAAGCAACGAGGGCCACGGGCAGTGTCTATAGACCTGGGCTTTTATGATAATTTTCTGTCATATTTTATGATAGTTTTCTGTCATATCGCTAAATTCGGTTTGTAGTTATTTTATAGTTATTTTGCATGAATGCAGTTGAAGTCTCATGTCAAGAGGCACACGCAGGGGACGAGTCTCTGTATTCATTAACTGTGCAAAAATATAAGGGTGGAGGACGTTGGCACTTTACCTCCTTAGCTCTTCAGGACTGTTGGGGTCTCCTCAGAAAAGCATTCCAGGGGCTGGAGGAGAACACGATGGGCCCATTAAATACTCCAGGCCACAGACCTCAAAAGAGTCTCTCCTCCACACCACTAAGCCAGGAGTGATTAGGAGATGAGGCACCAATTTGCGGCGCCTGGGGCAGGCCTGGGACAGAGACAGCGTCCAGTAAGAAACAGGGGTTCCCGAGGCCACACCCCCTCAGGGCCTCTGATCTGCAGCAAGTTCCTCAACAATGGTGCACGTGCTTGCTGGCGCTGCTGTGACAGCACCGCAGACCGGGGGCTGAGACAGCAGGTGTTTCTTCTCTCACAGGTGTAGGGGCCGGACATCTGAGATCAAGGCGCTGGCAGGCTTCGGTCCGTGGGAGAGAGGAAACTAGCCCCCTCCCACCTCTTAGTTCTTCTGGCTGGTCTAATCATCAAACTGACCTGAAACAGATTAACAGGAGAAAATAACCAAATTTATGGCACATGTACGCACAGGGGCTCCATAAGAAGGCGGGGCCTGAGGACGAATGGGACAGTTGAGGCTTATGCACCATCTTGAGCTAAGGAGAAAGCAGGGGTAGGGGCTTGGACTTCAAGGGGAAGGCAGGCCATTTCCAGATAGATTTGAAGGAGCAAACATTTGGTACGCAAATTCTTGCCGGGCCACCCAGAAATGGTGCGACGCAGAAGGGAGTTTAACAAACAGACTCCATGGGTTCGACCCCGTCACTGCACGTGGTTCACATGACGCTAAGGTGATGGCTCCCTTCTTTAAGCACGTTTTTCTCCTTTAGGAAGGTGGGCGAGGGGAGATCAAAGGTTCTTCCTGAGTCTTCCTTAAAAATAACCAGCTTAGAATAATGAATATCCCAAAGAGGCATAGTTTGGGGTGGGAAACTCTGTGCGCCGCCCCCCCCCCCAAGTTTCCTCTGAGGCTGCAAGGTCGAATCTTCCCCAGACCTCTCCTGGGCTTGTGGGGGGCCGCCCTCTCCTTGGGCCTGCACGTGGTCTGCCCTCCATGTGTGCCTCTGAGCCCAGACCTCCCTCTTCCTGTAAGGACACCAGTCACGTCGGATCAGGCCACTCCAGTGACCTCACTGGAACTCGATCACCTCTGTAAAGACCTGACCTCCGAAGAAGCGCACATTCTCAGCCACTGGGGGTTTGGACTCCAGCATCTGAGGGGTTGGGGGATCGATGCAGGTCAGCCCACTGCGATAGGCATTTGCGTTCATTTGGAAAGATAAGCCACATCCCACTGAAGAAGTTTAATTTCTATTTTAAGATCAGTGCAAAGGTACATTTGGCTTCTCATGCTTCTGCCTCCCACTGGTCGCTCTCAGTTGCTTCTGACTGCACGCACCAGAGCTAGGATGGTGTAAACCAAGCAAGGCACAGAATTTAAGACTCCTTTAGGGTAAAGTGGCCTTTTTTGGGTTTTTGAGGGGGAAACCAGATCTGGCCTCCATCCTCCATCTGATTGCCCTCTGCGCAGGCCCAGCACTGCCTCTGCGTGACAGCCCTGCCCCTACCCCTAGCCCACAGCACACCTGGGCGCCTGGGAACCCAGAGCTCCTGCCCAAGCTGGCCTGGCATCTTCTGGGCCGACACAGGTCTCCTATCTGCAGTCCACTTCCTCGGGCGGGTCCCGTGTGTACTTTCCGAGGCCTGAAGGCTGGCCAGCGGGGTAGCTGTTTGACGGAGCATGGCCACGTGGACTGGGATGTCCACATGACTGTCTGCGGGACCCTCTGCGTGCAAGACAGACCGGGGGTTGGAAGAAAAGAGGGGTAGGGGACCTCTATTTTCATCTCGCCCCAGCCCTGCAAATATTTAGGTCTTCTCTTCATCATTTTGCAGTATTTCCCCACTAAGTACAGAATAAAAATAATTACTTATTTTTCTCTTGGCACTCTGTGCCAGTTCATGCTTTATGTAGTTACAGCCGAAGGAACCCAAATCACATATTTGTTTCTGTTCAGTAAACATTTTGAAAACCAGAACAAAATAAGGCAGACAAGTAGAATTCTGTCGAATGTCATGCATTTGATTTTTTTAAGATACTGAATAATAAAATAAGGCCGGATCATGAAACACTAAATCATAAACATATACATTATCAAATGAATTTATCACCGGAAACAAATATTAAAGGGAGGGTTTTTAAGACAACAGAGATTTAGGTTGTGCTGGGCTTCGAAGGCAGATGAAAGAAAATGAGGCTCTCGGTGAAGCGATAGCATCGTGTCATTCATCGACTGCTAAATGTCTGCGGCACAACCATGAGAAACTCAAAAGTAAATTAGAAGTGCCCTAAAACATCCATTGGATACCTCCCCAATGGCAAATGGAACCCACGTGACTGGAAACGCAGTCCAGGAGCCGTGTGGCGGGGGCAGGCCCGGGGAGGGTGGTAGAGCATCCGTCTTGGTCTTCAGGTGCGTGGCTTTTTAGCTGATCTGGTTTGGAGGAAGGCGGCGGTTAATAAATCCTTTCGGTTGATGGGAGCTGGCGGAGTGTTAGGGTCAGGTACCCTGGCTCTCTCATCGGGGGGAGCTGGGGAGAACCTTGGTTCCTGGCTTCCTTGCCTTCTTGCCAGTCCACAAGCCTGTTGCTCTTCAAGGCTCCTCGGTGGCACCTCCCTGGCCCTCGGGAGTCAGCTGTCTTCCTCCTCCACGTGTTGTCCACGCCCCTCATTCGGCACGGCCGCTGGCTGCCTACAAGAGGAACTGACCTATCATCTCTCCACCTGCATCCCCTGAGGGGTGGGACTGTGTTGCAGCTCGATGTCCTATAGACCTATGTGTTTTTTCCCTGCCGCCCATCTTGGAAAGTATCCCAGATTTCCCCACAAAACACAGGAGACATAAACCGTTGTTTATTAAGTTTGTGTCTTGGTTGGCTACAGACTGAATGGCCGCTGTGCCTTCTGTCACGTTTCTAAGGCCCCAGGCATCCAGAATGCTGATTCCGTTTCATGAGGTTCGGAATCCCCAGAAGGCCGGCAGGGGCCCATCGTGTGAAATGTGACTTCAGCTGCTCCTGGCGAGGGCTCCGAGGATCTCACAGAGTTCTGGCAGACGCTTCTTGGTTACTCTTCGGTTTCCAAGCTCATTTTGAGGGTAGGACCAGGGTTTGAGATCTTGTCTCTTGGCTGGATAGAAATGGAATGTTTGTGTGTTGGGATGAATTTAGCTTTGTTTCATATTCCTGTTGAGTCTCCTTTTATCTCTGTAGGTGGAAAAGTTTTAGGGGGAGATCTTAATAACCTGGTTATTCAGGGTTTATTGTGTATGTTAGTAATTCACTGTCACAAAAATGCTGTGTAACAAACCACCCCCAATCTCGGTGGTTCAAAGAGGCGTTTATTTCGCTCATGAGCCTGTGGTTGGCCAGTTGACCTTGGCTAGGCAGTGTTGGTCTTGTAGTTTCCTTCCCGTGCCTGGGGTCTGGTGGTCTGGCTGGGGAGACTGGATGATGTGGCTTGTTCCACGTGGCCCTCACTCCAGCCTGCTGGCCTGGGCGTGCTCCTGTGCTGTGGAAAGTTGCAGGTGGAAAACTTTGTGCCCTTCGAGACTTCACCTGGGAACTGGCACACTCTTTTTCTGCTGCATTCCTTTGGCTGGTGCCAGTCACACGGATAGCCCCAAAACAGGGGTTGGGGAAGCAGACTCCACTTTCGTAGTGAGAGGAACCAGTCACATGGCCAAAGGCGTGGGCTCAGCACCAAGTAGAGAACTGCAGCCAGCCCTGCAACCCGCTGTAGAGTGACAGGAAAACAGGCTATTTAGTCTCCATCTTCGCCGTGTGTCTGGAACGCTTACTGGGTGTTTCAGTCATACAGGTAATAAACTATCCCAACCTAGCAGCTTAAAGCAACAACCAGCATATCACTTCTCAAGGTTCTGTGGGCCAGCTGGACTCAGCCGGACGGTTCTGCTTACCCGATGTCCGAAGGGGCCATGATCACGTGAGACGTGACCGTTCTGGAGTCCAGGCTGGCTCCCCCTCAGGCCTGGCTCGTAGTACTGGTCTTCGCTGGGTACCCACCTCTGGCCTTGGCCAGGTCGTGGTGCTGCCAAGGGCGTGGGGACTGGGTTCCTCGAGGCAGGAAGGGGAAGCTTCTGGTTCTTTGAGGCCTGGGCTCTGAAGCACTGGAACATCCCTTCCGCCACATTCTCTGGATCAAAGGCAGTTGTAAATCAGCCAGGGATTGAGGGGTGGGGACAAGCTTCAGCTGTGGTGTGAGCCGCAGCATGTGTGGGGGGAGGGACGAATTGTGTGGGGTGAGTTTTCCCACAGAGACGCTGAAAGGTGCAGAAAGAACCGTCTGTCCCTGAGCGTGGCAGCCGTGCACTAGGGGGGCCTTCCGTCCGCCAGGACGGACCTCTGCTGGGCCGAATGACCCTGGGAGCAGAACTGTGTTCCCCTGGGCCGCCTGCTGCTGTCCTGAAGGGGCCGTCTCGGGGGAGCTTCCCGTTCAGAGGAGCCCGCTCCCCGAGACCTTTGGCCAGGCCCCCATCCTCTCTCGGCCTCTCCTCTGGCTCATGTGCCAAGAGCATGGCTGACCTTCAGCAGCCACCAAGTTCAATTTCAAGACAGTGCTTCATTCCTTTTGCATTTTTTAGCAAATATGATCCCTCCAAAAAAGACTCATTTTCGACTTTAGGGGAAAAACTGTGTACTTTCTAAACATCCGGATAGTAAAAAATAATGCCTCCATTTTCCATCTTGGCCGGGAATCCATGGAGCCCTTTTGGGGGACAGATGCCCAGCTCACAGATGTGGGGTGAAGGCTTCCCATGAGAGGCCCCCCGTGATGGAGGTGGATGTGTTTGCACCATGGGAGGGTAGAAAGGGTGGGTACAGCGAGCCTTTGGCATGTCCCTGGAATAATGGGTTGAACCACAAACTTAAAAGGCACCCTTGTGCCTGTAATCTTGAAATCAAGATGTTTATTTTTATTTTCCAGTGAACTACTTAGAGTCATGGGCCAGATTTATGAAGAAGAAAACAAAACAAAACAAAAATGATACTGACCAAAAAAAAAAAAATATGATGGCACCTAACAGTATGAATTAGGAAAGGTATTTTCGGTGCCAGCTGATGGCTAAGACCTGCAGAGAACCGAGGGCTGGCTGGGGAACAGCCCCTGGAGCCTGGAGCCCTGGGGTAGGGTCTGAGGGTGGGAGAGGCCACTACAGGATCCAGCTATGGCCGGAGCCCTGGCCAAATATGGAGGGCCCCTCGAGTAGGTGATGGGAGGGTGTGGGGAAGAAACACCCCTACCCTTCTCTTCTACCACCCCCTGACCTCCAGATGGTGTCACAGTGACCAGGCTTGTCGGGGGCAGCCAGAAGGCAAGGGTGCCCCACTGAGGCAGTCTGTAGGTAGGAGTCAGTCCTGCGGGGCAGAGGCCAGGGCAGGAGGGGGGCTCTGGGAATGGGGTGCGGCAGACAGACAATAACTAGAACACACCGGTTTATAATCTGAATAAAGGAAAATATGAATTAAAGTATCTTCGAAATGCAGGGCAAAAGCTATTAATTGTGTCAGCCCAAAATTTCTTAGGGGCCTTGGAGCCAAGGCACCTGGGTTGGGTCCTGGCTCTGTCGTTTATTAACCAGGTGATCCTGGACAACTCAGTGACCTCCCTGGACCTCCATGTCCCCACCTGGATAATGGGGCTTCTAACTCTCAGAGTCGAGGTCGGGATTAAATGACAAATGTGTGCCCAACCCTCAGCCCAGGGGCTGCCACTTATGCACCTAGGGAACTGCAGCTGTGCTTTTTTATGAAGCCCTTAATCTGGAAGCTTAAAAAGATGCGTAGACAGCATGAGTTTCGGTGGGAACTTCAAAAGTTCAAGTCTCTCAGTATAATTGAAACTGTCTCATTTTTTCCTGTCTGACCTCTTCCTTCAGATGATCATTCGCAGACACCACCCATGAAGAATGACGTGTGTGAACGGCATGTGACGTGGGTTTGGGGGGCTCGTCCTGCTGGGGTTTTTTGGAGGCTATGGTCGCTTCATTTACCGCACGGGCATAAAGGATGCTTTCGGGCAAACGCACTTAATGCAAAGCCGTGATTTTTTTTTTTAACCGTTGGTGCACTGTATTCACTCCTACTGGACAATAAGACGCGGCAGGCGGTTGTTTATTATTACTTGTGCTGTCCCTTTTTATCTCCTAGCTGTCTCGGGTTCCGAATGCCTGGTGAACGAGCTGGCCTGCTGAAGGACATGATTCAGACTGTCCCGGACCCGGCAGCTCATATCCAGGTAGGTTTCCCCTGGACCAGGAGGCGGCCTGGCTTCCTCCTCGGCGGGATTGTCGTGGACGCCTGCCCACAGATCCGATCACGCCGGGGTCAGCCAGCCATGTCCCTGGGCCAGTGCGACCCACCACCTGTTTTATACGGCCCGCGGGCTAAGAAAACAGTTGTCACGTTTTTAAATGGTTGAGAAAAATCCGAAGAAGAAGAATATTCTAGAACATGTCAATTGCATGAAATTTAGACTTCATTGTCCATGGGGACGGCTTTGCTGGGACACACAGCCATGCTTGCCTCGTTTCCATACTGTCTGTGGCTTTTTTCACGCTTTGATGGCGAGTGGAGTAGCTGCAGCAAAGGCCACGTGGCCCGCAGAGCTGAAAATCTTTACAGTCTGGCCCTTGGCAGAGCGGCTCGCTGACCCCGGGGTTAACCTAGGAAACCACATCCACATTCTCCTAACTTCTGTTCCTATCCTGCCCTCCTTCACACTGCCCGGGGTCACCTGGGAGGAGACCAGATGGGGGACGCTTCGGTGTCTCACACGCAGACGCGGCTTCGTCCGCGCATGCGCACACGTCCGCGGCTCGTCCTGACGCACCTGCCCCAGCTGCTCGCTGACAGCAGCGCCCTGCGGCCGGGAGGCGTGAGCCGGAGGAAGCCAGGCTGGTGCCAACGGGGGTCCCGGAGAGGAAACCGGCCCGTTCATCTCAGTTCTCCACGTCCATGTGGGTATAGCCACAGCGCAGGAAGGAAGTGATGGTTTTAATATACTTGACCCAAATAACAGTTACAGAGAAGAGGGCCGGAGCTACATTATCCAGATAGGCTGTCTGCTCCCGTGCGGTTTAAGTCAGCTGTCTACACTGGCCCGAATCCTTCACTGCATGGCCGGTTCCTCACGTGCCCCCTATAATTCATTTTCTCTGAGTGGCCCAGTAAGTTTCATTAATTTATATTCTTTGCTTAAAACACTTCTCGAAAAATGGAAAGTGGCTTATAATTGAAAAGAAAGTGTATGGTATCGAAATATTTGCCTTTTTTTTTTTTACACTAAACTATAAAATGCCCTCTAATATATCACACGCGCACACACACATTTTAAGTAAAAGCAGTGTATTGGGGAGCGCCGTGTACCATGTGTGAGTCACGTTCATGCACATTCGGCTTCTCTGAAAATGGAATTAGAAATGACAAGAGCTCCAGTGCATTCTTTGGGCTCTGAGGGTGCTCCTGACATTTTAGAAATGGGGGGAAGGTCGAAATAGCCGTCTAATATATCACACGCGCACACACACATTTTAAATAAAAGCAGTGTATTGGGGAGCGCCGTGTACCATGTGTGAGTCACGTTCATGCACATTCGGCTTCTCTGAAAATGGAATTAGAAATGACAAGAGCTCCAGTGCATTCTTTGGGCTCTGAGGGTGCTCCTGACATTTTAGAAATGGGGGGAAGGTCCCAGGGGTGTTGAGGGTTCTTAATTTTATCCAGGGACAGAGAGGAGCAAATCCTTCTGGGGGGCGCTGGAGTTTGATTTCTGCGTGATATTTTATCGGGACCTGGCAGTTAAGTCTACAGAAGTGCGAGTGGAAAATCTCTCATGGATGTGACAAGCGTTTTCGGAAATATCTGGAACGTATTTGGCATATCCATGCTGTACACAGATGGGATGCAGTCAAGACTTTTTTCTTTTAGACTCTGTTGACCATGAAGCTGCAGGGAGCAAATTAAAGCTCACGGGGAGGTCGATATTGGTATAAGAAACACCTTCTACAGTTCAGAGTAGGTGGGTCAACAGCCAGGACCCGTTTTGATTGGCACTTCATTCCTAACCAACCAGAAGGAAAAGATGGAGTCAGCCAGAAATTATTACGGGTTTTTAAAAGTGAATTCATGGAGCGCAAAACAGTCTTAGATCGAGAAACACGATCTCCGCAAGTGTGTTTATTGGAACTGTCCTGGATTTGATCTCAGGAATGAGCTTTGTTTTCAGTTCTGATTTATCTTATTACCATCAGATTGGTTGATGTTAGGGAAGGGTGATTTTGAAAAAAATGGTAACCCTGAGAGTTTTTAAAAAAACAAATTGCAACTCAAACCGCTTCTGTGTGTTTTGAAGATGCACTGGCTAATTAAAGTTGCAGTTACTAAGAGCTGATGTTGGCCCCGAGGTAGAGAGAATGGTATTAAAGACATGTGTTTCCTTTATAAGTCTATTAAATTCCACCTATTGGAATTTAAATAATTATTCCTGGACTTCCTTTATTTTGATATATGAAATTGGTGTCCTTGACGACAGAGTTCGGTAAACAGATCGCCTTCCTCTGTTTCTTTAAAATACCCTATTCGGGGAACGTAGTCTATAAACGTTAATGTGCTGAGAAGTTGCTGCTCCTAGAAGGGAGCATCTTCTAAACGGCACGCGAATGGGTTCCAGTCGATGTGTTAATGTAAGTAGTAGATGATTTCGTCTTTGGCTTATTGCTACTGAAATGTGTTTTTCATCGGAAAAGGACTTGAGCTGTCCACAGAAGTGACCTAACTTCGCAGGTGGGCAGGGAGACGGCCATAAAGCCTTTCCGCGTCCTTCACGTTCGTGCCATGGGCTGATCTAGAGGAAAGAAATGTTTCTTGTGTATTAAAGAAATGTATTCCACATAATTTACCATGGTTCTTTTCTGCTAGAACAAATATTAAATACTATAGCAATTGTATAATACATGGTTATAGTATTCATATGTAATGTTATATGTTAGCATACTCTTACATAATTGCAGTAGAAGGGGAGAAAGGAGAAGAGAGAATATTCTGGAAAGAATTGGACAGCTACAGGGTAGTAGCCAAGAATTAAACTGCTGAGCTGACTTCTTTTCCACATGGTCTGTGGCTGTCAGAAACATTAAATATTTCTGACTATAAAAGATGCTAAACTTCAATGCTGTTTGTGTTTCATGGAAGAAGGGTCTGAGGGAGTTTTAAGAAGTAGCCAGCATTAAACGCAAGGTCGCTGGGAAGCCCGAGAACCCAGGAGATGAGTGGGACCCTGAAAATAACGTGAAGCAGATGCAAATGAAAGCTCATCGGGGCAGATACCCCCGTCCGTATCCCAAGTAAGGGGCCAGGTGTCCTCTCCTGGCTGACTGTGATTTATCCCACGGAGAAGGGTGGACCTCACCACCCAGCCCCTACCTGGCTGACAAAAGACCCACCGGGTGGTGAGCATTTCGTTCTTATTTGTGAATCTGATTTATAGTCACTTTGCTTCAGAGGAAGTGAGAAAGTTTATCCTTTGAGGATATACTCAGCAGACACCAGAGTTTCCCCCCAAACTCTACGTACTGTGAAGATGATGTAAGCCTTTGATACGCTGCCTAATTTCTCCTCGATAAATCAGCTTTGATCCGATTCCAACACAGCCCGACGAGCCTGGTGACTTTGTGGCTGTTTATAGCGGCGCTTTCATTTTTCTGCGGGATAATGGCACTTCATTAAACATGGAAGAGCAAATTTACTAAAATTTCTGCAATGAGTGCGTGTTATTCTCATAACCAGAAAAATAATATTGTTTTAAAACATCAAGATATTTGATATGGCGAAGCGGTGGCCATTTGTACCGTCGGACAGCCCCACCTGCAGATACACCACGTGCGGTTTGCTGAAGCCGGGCTGTGTTTCCTGTCTCCCCTCTCTGGCTTTCTGTGCCCCTTGGGCTGAGCTCAGTCCCCTGCTTCCGGGGGCTGTGCTCAGGGTGTGTGCTCCCTGGGCATGCTGCACAACGTCCCCGAACCGAAGTGTCCTGGTTAAGATTCGGTGACGCTGACATTCAGAGAGGGCACCAGCTTTACCAGGAGGTATAGGCGGAAGTTATAAAGAGAAGAAAGGTTAGAAGTTGTGTGTGGTTGGTCTGGAAGCCCCTTGGGCGGTTTTCCTCCAGAGGTGGTTCTTCAAGGCGTCCTTGAGGGCTACCCAAAATGCAGAGTTCTGGGCTTCCCCACAGCGGCCGCTTCAGCAAGTTTGGGCTGGACTCAAAGAACTGCATTTTCACAAGCGACTGAGGTGTTTCTGTGGATCTTAGTTAGATAATGAATAATTAATATTAACCTAGCCTGAGATAATCACTAAAAATTTATCAAAGCAACTGATTTTTTTTTTTCGGTCTTCACTGGAGGCCGCACATTCTTGTCACACCTATAAGCGTTTAAAGAACATTGTTTGGACTTGAGTTTCAAAACATCCGCTCGTATTTTGGGTTCTGTGATTGGGTAGAAAAGTCTGGAAGAGACGTTTCCATTGTTGCTCCTTCTGCCTCATGGGAGATTGACCGATCAGGAATTTGAATCAAGAATATTCCAGATCAGCCCCTAGCGATCGAGTGTGCAAGAGATGTCAGCGTGGCTGAGCCCACTGTTGCACGCACAGCTCGCTCTGTGCACTTGGGGTTTGAGCGTCGTCATCCTTGTTGCAAGACTCAGCGTTGGGACCACGGAGGAAGGCGGGGCCTGAGCTGGAGGGGTCTCTAGCTGCCTCCCCCGCCCACCCTTCCCTGTGTTCACCTTACCTCAGGTGCCAGGTTAATGCTCCAGGGAAGTCATCTTCTTCATCGCTTTTCTGATCGGAAAGGGCACGCACACTTTTAGGGCTTTCGACACCAGCATCTCCCCACCCAACCGCGCCCTTCCGCGCTTCTCCTGGAGTGTCACGTTATCACGTCCTATTCCGATTTTTACCTTTTGCCGATTTGAAGGGTGGAAAGTAGAGCTTTATAAATGTTATTTCATTCGCAAACGTATGCGAACGATCACCTCCTATATACTTGCCAGCAAGTTATAGTATCTCTTTTGTAATTTTTCTGAGCCATTTCAGTGAAATCTTGTAACATCGTTGGGGGCGGGGCGAGCATGAGCCCAAAGGGTGAGATCCCTGCTGACATTAAGCTTCTATTCTAGGTGTTGAGATGAGATATGCTCAAATGTGTGTGTGTGTGCATGCGTGCGTGTGTCAGCA